CAAACAACAAACAACAAACAACAAACAACAAACAACAAACAACAAACAACAAACAACAAACAACAAACAACAAACAACAAACAACAAACAACAAACAACAAACAACAAACAACAAACAACAAACAACAAACAACAAACAACAATAACGACGACGACAACGACAACGACAAAAAAAAGCGAAAGCAGGAACGGAAACAATTGCCGCAGAACCGTATTTTCACCATTAATAATTCAAGAAACCAAGTTGGTAGAATAGTGTGTATTTTGAGACATTAAAATAAATTAAATAATCCAATAACCTTTTAAACTGCTTTAAATATCTCTCACGAATTGTAAGTACTAGTTAAAACATGAGCAGCCGATTTTTATCTGATATACAAACTCGAGCCGAAGAATAGACATTGTCTTAGCCGAGAAAATCAAAGCTGAAGTTTATGTAAATCAGGACAAATCTTTATCCGATTTACAAACATTGATTAAACATTTATTTCTTTTGTATTTTCCTCATGAATTATTAATATGTTTTTTAATAACAGATACATTAGACTTGAAAGTTATTTAGATTCCTCGCTTTTATGTATAAGCGAACACAATCCTTTTCGGCTCAAAGTTATTAGATCCCAATGTATTGTCGTCATCAGCGGTTATGGCATATTCCAACATGGCTAATTATATACCAGAGAGATGCGTCATCGCACAGGTAGGTTGATGTAGCTATCGTCATCCCTATTCAAAGCATGATCAATCGCATTAATGCATTCGTCGCGGTAAGGTCATTCTTCGGATATGCTATAAACAACTGTAATTTGTTCTAGGGTTCTGTTCATTATCTTCAACCTGAGTAGCGAGCGAAAATCCTTTCCGAAACATAAAGGTTAAATAGGAAAATGGTTATATATATATATATATATATATATATATATATATATATATATATATATATATATATATATATATATATATATATATATATATATATATATACCGGGTGGAGCAAAAAAGTACGTCTGTTTGAATTGCTGGAAAATCAGAACTAAAATTGCAATGACACTAAAACAGGTTTATTGGCATTCAGCGATATACAACTTAAATTTTGATATACAGCTATTTAAATTAAGGTTGTCCACGAGGAAAGCGGAAAAGTCGAATTCGAGCGTGAAAGGCTGCTGGGAATCGCTAACAAATTAATGAATTTTGATAGCGATTCCCAGCAGCCTTTCGCGCTCGTGTTTGACTTTTCAGCTTTGCTCGTGGACAACCTTAATTTAAATAGCTGTATGCCATGCACATTTCCATGCCATATTGTCAATGATACATGCATTTAATTAAACAGGAGTAAACATTTTTGGAAGTGACGAAATTAGCTAAAAATGGCTTATTAGTTATTAATATATACAGTACAACATGCAATAACATGTGTTAAGACGCATTAGTATAAATTTTGCGCGTTCTGATTGGCTAGTTGACTAGTAAATCTGACCATTATTTACTAGCCGACTAATAAATAATGCTTTTCAAAAAGAATGATTTGGCAAATTTGGTTTCAAAATCAACAAAATATTGAAAAAATCGACCCAGAAAACGAAAGAAGCACAAAATGTTGTATTTAACTTGAAAGGTAGGATTCCTTTATTACTTTACTCGGTCAAACACATTCACGAACAATTTAAAACTTATCTAAAACTCCGAAACGTTAAATTCAAACAGTGCCGTAGCAAGCTCGATAATTGGGGGGGGGGGGGTGCTCTTATTCATATATTCGTGTTCACAGACCATAAAAACAATCGATTTCAAAAGAAATTAATAACGCAGAACACGAATATATGAATATGAGCCCCGCACCCCCAATGATCGAGCTTGCTACGGTACTGTCAAACAAATATAGCAAAAACTATCGATCCCGTCTGTTGGAAAAAACCTTGCCGTGATATTCTTTTAAAACCATCAGTTTTGTTTTGTATCCTATAGATGTCTCAATTTGTGCGATACTATTTCTTTTGATCGATATGTCATGTTTTCATTGTGCTGTATGGTGTCCTGCCGCTGTATTGTGTTTTCGAAACTTGTAACACGCCTGACAAAAATGCATGCCAAAGCGCCAACGTGCTTCAATTTCTTTAATTTTCATCCTGTTTCTACAAAATTTCCCATAAACATAGAACATGTCATTCTTACAAATCGTCTGTTTTTTGTTTTTGGAATTGCTACATTTTTGGCGGGAAAATGACGTCACAAACTTGCCGCTAAAATATTAACAGTTAGTTATTGTTAATTTTATGCACTTATTCGGTTGACGACATTGAAAGAATCGCGAAGATATAGCGCTACAAATGTCGAAAAATCGGCCATTTTGTTACTAAAAATAGAAGAAAATGGCCGATGTTTAGAAATTTGAGTCATGATATCTTCGCAAGGAATGGTTGTATTTCGAAACAGACTTCAGTTTTAAGACTCTCTCAATGTCGTCTACCGAATAAGTGTATAAAATTAACAATAGCTAACAGTTACTTTTTTAGCGGCAAGTTTTTGACGTCATTTTCCCGCCAAAAATGTAGCAATTCGGAAAACAAAAAACAAACGATTTGTAAGAATGACATGTTCTATGTTTATGGGAAATTTTGTAGAAACAGGATGAAAATTAAAGTACGTTGGCGTTTTGGCATGCATTTTTGTTTAGGCGTGTAAAGTGTATTAAAACTTTATTTCGAGGCATTCGAGCAATAGTTTTACATTCCACTTTACCAATTTTCTCAGCCATTTCTTGAACAAATTAATGCTAAACAGAAACTATTTTTTTAACTCCAAGTCTGGTGAAAAAGTCGTTCCATCATTTTGTTTATATTCTAAGCAGAAATCGAGAAAAACAACTTTGTAAAAAGACAGAAAAGTCACAAAGAAGCCATTTTGAAAGCGTGCGTGTACAAAACACTAAACAAGTAACCGTTAAACCGGCTGAAAACAGTTTTATTTCTCAATTTTAATTTCACTTATCTTTCGATGTTTTGTTTTATTTATTACAAATTTATACTAAAACAATTATTCTCCTCAGGCTCGGTGATTACGGTGAATATTCACCTCGACATCGTCTCGGTGAATATTCACCGGTAATCACTTCGCCTTCGGCGAAGAATTGGTAATTATATACTTTATTGTCAGTACGAATTCACGCTTGTGGTTCAAAAACAATCGTCTATATTCACCAGTAAATGCATGTCCCCCAGCACAAATGCAACGTCTTGCCCGTGAAATCATACAATCGAAAGAATTTTGGATCATTTGCTGTTTCAAGTTGCGGCATGCAGTAACAATCGCTTCACGGAAGCTCTCTCAAATTGTGCTTTATTGAGTTATTTGAATCGCACATAGACTTGTTCCAATCAATTGGAAGTACTCTCTCGTGTCGAGATTTCTTTCAACAGAGTGTGGACCCAGAACAACTGACCTCGTCAAACTAACCCACTAATTGAAACAATAATTGCGAGAAAATGGTAAAGGTTATTCAATTGGTTTTAATAGGGCCTTTTCAGCTAATTCTCGGCGGTTCCAAAAATGTTTGCTTTAGTTTAAACCGTACAGTTATCTCTGTCAATATTGCATAAAAATGTACAAGACATATATCAAAATTTAAGTTAAACATCGTGGAATATACGGCAACTAATTAAGTGTAATAGCCCTTTTATTTTTTAAGTCATAGTAAATCAAACTGTCGTACTTGTTTTTGCCTCACACGGTATATAAACTTCGCACACGAATATTTAAAAAAAATAATCCTTAAAGAGCCAAAAACGCCGACCAGCAAATCTATTTGATAGGGAACCTTAGCTTTAGATAGCGTAACGGCGACGCAATTTTCCGTTTCGTTTCTGTAACAATTACGCCTGTATTCAAAAAGCTCACTCGCACTCATACTTGAGTGCATGTGACTCGAATGAGATGCACTCAAATAGGGTTGAAGTGTGAGTGAGAGTGGAGTATGAGTGTGAGTGTCCACTTAACGAGGGATCAATCACCCTTGAAAATATTAGCTAGATTTGTATTCAAAGAGCTCACTCGACTACTCTAGTGTGACTTGCTGGAGTTTGGGTTTGATCTTGATGTATAATTAACGATAGAAGGTATATAAAAACTAGTGAGCACAGGACGAAAATTGAGATTTAAGTGGCTTTAAGGATAACTGAAAGTTCCTTAAAGTTTGAGGATAAGCTTTAAGGCGCTTTTAAGTATGCCTTAAATGTAGGTGACCTTAAAATATCGTTTAAACAAGCTTTAAGGTTCTTTAAGGCCCTTTAATTTTCAATTTCTAGCGCATGGGTGGACTATGATTTTACGGTGCTTTAATTTCGCATGAAAGTCTCACTAAATTTAAATGTTTACCTTTCATGTATTAAGGTGAACCCTAACCCATAACAAAAGCAATTGTGAGATTTAATGTTAGTTTCAGGACAACAGGAATGCTCCTTAAATCTTTGGTCAGGTTCGTTCACTGTCAGAAAACTCCGATATCTGCCGGCGAATGTTTATTATTAAAATTAAAAGGTCGAGGCATACAAGGCTACAAGCTGATCAAACACAAGGGGATTTTGTTATTTTTGAGACAAAGTTATTATATTGATTATTGCGGGTTTGTTATTCCCCTATTCGGAAACCGAAACTACGTACTGACTACTGTGTAGATCGAGGTTTGTTAGATTCGGTTAATATTGACAATTATGTCAATGGACGAGTCAAGGCATCTGGTTTTATGCCATCACTATGATCAACTGGTGTCAAGATCTACAAGAAACAGGCATGAAAACAAGAAAAACCGCGAAGAGGTCCTTCGAAAGTCATGCCAGAAGTCCGAATCGAGTGATACGACAGACAGTGACTCAGAGACATGTCAGCATATATAGACACAACCACAGGTGAGACTTGTTATTTATTAAATACCACTGTCAGTACGCATGAAATTCAACATGACCTGATTCGATCTGCTGTAAACTCACTTCAACACCAGTGTCTATCCCGGTGATCAACAGATCTTAAAATTGGTGATCAACAGTCTTTAAATTGTTGTTGATAAGCTAAGCTCCTTTTTATACACTTGCAATTTTGCTGTGATTACAAATGAGGGTCATTTTCAATTTTTCATCTTCTGATGGATGTAAATTACGAACAATAACTTCGGAATGTTCACATTTAGATTCTTGTAGTCATAACATCCATAACTATTTCACTTATTTCACTCGTTCACATCCATCAGGAGCAGAAAATATCTTCTGAAGTTGCACTGCAACAAAAATTGCAAGTGTAAACAGGCATTTATATGTACATGTGATTGGCGCACAAAAACACTAAAAGTAATGAAGTTATTGCAGGCACTGACTGTCTTTGTGCACCCCAAAAATACCTGCATTGCTGTCCAGCACATAAAAATAGAAGATTCCATAC